CCGGATCAATATCTGCAGATAAAAAGGCAGAATGCTGAGACGGCCAGCGAAATGACATTTGGCGGTACCCCACCCCTGTACGAGGGACCCGACAAAACGAGGCGCGGGCCAGAGTGTCACATGTGAGCGCGAGAGCCAAATAAAAAAAACAAAACTGGAGGTCGGATCAATTTCTTTTGTCCCCATTGTGTCCTGTTCATGGCTGGCTTAAAGGACCACTCCACCCGAAAACCCGAATTCTATGTCAGTTCTTTGCTGTTTGCTGGAAGGTGACATCACACGCCGGGTTATCGGATCCTTCCGGCATGGAGATTTCCCTCTAGAATTCCCATCTCTGCCCAGCCGGTATTGCCGTATGATGGCGTCACCTTCCCCAATTGATTTTACCAAAATTGGGGGGGTGGTTCGGCTGTGAGCGGCACCTTGTGGGAGGGGCTTGGAGACGGATTATTATTCTTACACTGGGGCATGGACGTGGAATGAGATGATGCGACACAATGGCGCCCACCCAGGACCGGGGTAGAATTGGGTCTCAGGAACGGGCAGAGTGCTGAACGCTGTCTAGATATTACCATGTAAAATCAGGCACTGGGCGAGTTCACAAAGAAAAGTGACCAGCGTGCTGGAAAGTCTATCAAGATCGGTCCCGCCCCCAGCAGAAAATGATTTTTTTTTTGTTGCGGGTCAAATGATTATATTAAAAAATAAATAAATGGACGATCAGGCGGAGCTGACTCACTACAATTGAGGAAATGCCCACCTGGCGCCCGATGGAAGGAAGAGGGTATCTCACCCCACTTCCTAATCCACCGAATCCCCCCTCCCCCGCTCTTCTACATCCTAATCTTATCGCCAAACTGTCTTCTATGTGCCGATCAGCTGCCCCCTCCGGCAGCATCATGACCGCCGTTGAGGTAGCCGAACACCTGTTCCCGGTCAGCTCCTGCGTTCAGGTGTCACCGATTGGCTGGCTCTGCCTGAACACCACCTCACACAGTGATCACATGCTTCCCCCTGCCAGGGCAGCGGTCATGTGACAGCCGTTGAAAGGAGCCCCGGAGCAGCTGATTGGTTGCTGGGTAAAGCTGTATTATATTTAGATATCGTATTCCCAGATAATAAAAGGCTGTGAGGGGGCAACTACTCCATTGTTGCCCCTCCCCCTTCCCCGCCCCCTTTTTCAGGAGTTACAAAGT